TAACTTCATAAGGAACCTCGGAGCACAAAAAGGGAAAAAGGGCCCACTGGGCCAGACACCCTAAACCGGCCTTACACGCACTGCGGGGTTTAAGGCTTAGGACCTAGGAGATTAGATTTGGGAGTTTCCTAAAATAGGGGACCCAAATATAGCACCCTAGATAGTAGGATCCTTGTTATAATTATAAGGACCCCAAAATCAGGTACCCCCAATCTTCGGAAACTCCCAATTTGGAAGATCAGACCTGATGACTTAACAGTACTTGAACAAGGGTCCAATGTACCTTCAGCCGTTGGGGCTATGAGGAAAATAGCTATAAACTATAAACATCTATAAACCCTAAACCCAAAAACCCTGTCGCCTCAATTGGAGCAGTTAAACCCACAATTTTTTGGAATGTCAACATCCACTGAGTGTAAGGGTACCTACTGAGGTTCCTGACCCTGAAGCCTAAACCTTAATCCCTAGTCCAGACGAGGTTCTTGGTCGGCAGGTTTCTATGGGTTTACTGTTCAGGGTTTGAGGGTTTCAGCACCCAGAACTGCCCGAAGGCTCCTTATAGGAGAATATATATGAACCCCTACTATGGAGCCTTAGGGTACTTCGGCATGAGCTCCCTTTTACTACGATGCCCAGTAACCTAGGAAGAAAAAGTTCCCTTTTTGGTATTGGGGAACTTCATAAGGAACCTAGGACTACGCATAAAAAATAGGGGCCTCAATAATTAGAATAGGGTTCCTTTAAGGGGTCCTTTAAAGGGTTGCATCAGGGATCTATTATAAGGTTCTATTGTAGGGGCCTTGATACTTGGAAAAGTGAATCTGGCGTATATTATACTGGACTTATAACAAGGACCCACCCAAAATAGTATCGGTAAAGATTCAGGCGCCTAAGGCACATTCAACCTCCAAGTAAATTCAGGGCAATGGGGTCTGTACTATGCACAAACACTGCCTTTGTGCAGTGCCTGCTGTCGCTGTTATATCTATAAACGGCTCTGGGGTATAAGCTTCCTACAAAACCTTTTTGTGGAACTCCCATTTTGGCAGAGAAACCCTTTACAGTAGAAGCCGGAAAGTTGGAATATCATTGTCGTAACCCCTCTAAGGTAAATTATAGGGGATCCTACCGTGAAACCATATTCCAACTTTCTGGAGTTCCCTTTAACCCTCAACCCCTGAGCTTCCCTAGATTCCCAGAAACCTGTGCTCCTAAATTCCCAGACATGCACACATGGGGAGTTCTCCAAACTAGAGTCCCTTTTGGGGTCCCCAAAATACTACGGCACCTGTATAAAAAATGACCCAGCAAGGGACCCTAAGTTAGAGAACTGCCCACATTCCTTCACAGCTAGAGCATTCTATTGGGAAATCTTGCGACCTTCAGAATTCAACCGAAGCCTACCCTAGAGTCTACCTGTAAGCTCATACCCTACCCCTTCTTTTGTGTATCTACTTGTCTATATAACAGATCCTAACCATAAAACTAGATATCCTAAAAAAGGGGTAGGGTATGAGCCTCTAGGTCGAGTCTAGACGGTAAGCACAGGGGGTTGTTCTAAAGGTCCCGCTACAGGAGGGAAGCAAAGGGAAGCTCCCTTATGTCCTTGTGTCTGCTTTGGCGGCTTTGGGTTTAGGGTTTAGGGTATCTTGAACAACTACCCAGACCTTCCAAAATCCCTAGTTACTTAAGGAATATAACTTAAGTTATACTAGGATCCCGGATCCCTAATATCAGTTAAGGTATATGCGTTAGTTAAAGGATTTTGGAAGGTCTGGGTGCCATAGCTGTAGGATGCTACAGTTCACGGCGAGTGGGGTCTGGGATTCAGGACTCGAAGCCTCAAGGCTACAAGGTTCGGACTTCTAGGATATTTACTGCAGCGGGTAAGGTTGCTTCAAGCTTGAGATTGATAGTTCAAGGTGCATCTTGTAGGATTTAAGAGTTTAGGGTCTACTTTTTGAACGACTCTGCTTGCATGCATCAGCACGAATTCGGTGCAATCTGACAGCAGGTTCGCTGCCGTATTTCAACGCGATGATCCTGTTGCGAAGGAAGACGGATGTCAATCCGATTTCCACATGGGTTGAAATCGAAAATGCCCAGCAAGATTTTTGCCAATCCCTTCCTACGTCCTAAAGGCTGATTCCAACTCCGCTCGAACTAGAGTCTAAGAACGACTCACTCTGCTTAAACCCTAAACGCAGGATTGGTTCTTCGTTGTGGTTGAAGAACCTGAAGATCTAAACACTACCCTAAGCCGAGCTAAGCACAGCCTCTGTCTGACAAAACGAAAATACCGCATCTGTCATCATTATTGCTATTGTTATCGATGTCGTTAGTATTGATGTGGAAAAGTTCTAATGCTACTATGATATTACTAGTATTCTTAATATTTCGTTTTCAGTAATACTATGGCAACTGCCTACTACTACTTCTGCTGCTACTACTACTACTACTACTACTACTACTACTACTACTACTACTACTACTACTACTACTACCACTACCACTACCACTACCACTACCACTACCACTACCACTACCACTACTGCTGCTACTACTACTACTACTACTACTACTACTACTACTACTACTACTACTCCTGCTACTACCGCTATTGCTACTGCTACCACCACCACTACTACTACTACTACTACCACCACCACCACGACGACTACTACTACTACCACCGAATACTACGAACTACCGGTATTTTCATTATTCCTCGGTGTCTTCCTACTTGGACGGGCCGCCGACGCGCCCAGGCACAGAGGGAAAGCTTCAAGCAGCGCACCGGGTGTTGGCTTGGGGTTTAGGCTTTAGTTTAGGGTTTAGGCTTTAGTTTAGGGTTTAGGGTTTAGCCCTACGGGTCCAAAGGACCCAATAATTAGGTACTTGGGTTTAGGATAGTAGTTATGTAGCTTATATTTAGGAGACTACATGAATATTCGGTGATATTAGGTACTTGGACCCTTAGGGCAGGGTGCAAGCTGCCAGCTCGGGGGCTCCGAGTTTACTGCTTGGTGACTCAGGAAGTTAGAAAAGTCCCACCTGGACCCTAAGGAACCTGCCTTTTTAGGGTTCCCTAATATGATTTCTTTATATAAGTCCTTAAAAAGGTAGGTTACTTGGGGTTAAGGCAGGTATGATGAAACCCTCACATGCCGGGTATGGCACAGTCAAGTATGATTAACAAAGTCTCGTTTATCACCATGAGATGATGTCCGGGCTCCGGATTGCACGCCTAAGCATTTAGCAAACATGAAACCCCGAAGGTTCATACACTTCAAGTGACATCTTCGTTGTACGATGTAATACATCGAAGCCGACCTTCGACCTCAGCAAAAACTATCCCAACCCATTCCATGCCGCATGGAACCCTGGTGTCGCACAGAAAACGGATCACGATGTCAACCATAAGCGAATGGTCAACATCAAACAACGCAACAATTGTTAAGAAGAGCCAGTATACACAAAGAAAAACGTTGCAGGACATCCCTACGCCCATGCTAGATCTCATGAGCCCATAAACAGCCCTGGTACGGCCCTGAGGTTTGTTAGTCAGGGTCCTAAGTCAGGGTTTAGGCTCGCGGGCAACCTACTGTTTGTCTAGAAAGAAGTGCTAGACCCGGAATTTCCGCCAACTAGGGTTAGGGTTTAGGGATGAAGGCTTTGCGTTTCTGGTCTGCATTTAGGGTTCAGGCCTACATGCTCCGCAGTGAGGACCTTATGGCCGCAATCAAGACAAATTAATTAAGGGGTCTCTATGCCTTTTGGGACACAAGTTTTTATGCTCATTCTAGCCGGATGTTCTTGACCCTAACTCCAAAGCTCCTATCCCGAGCCTAATTCTCCACAATAGACCCCTACTTGGAGGCCCTGTTGACTTAGTAAGTCTACTTAGTATCCCCTAGAAACCCTATTATAATCCCCATAACCCACCTTACTAACCCTACTTACTAAGTCAAAAGGGCCTCCAAGTAAGAAACCCTAAACCCTATAGATCCCTTTAAGGAACCCCTATAGATCCCTTTTAGGACCCCTTTAAAGGAACCCCTAACCTTACTAAGTCAAAAGGGCCTCCAAGTAGTGACCCTGAGACCCTTCTGAAAGCCTCTATACCCGAACCAGTTTGCGCAGTGCTCTGCTTGGAGGCCCTTTTGACTTAGTAAGTAGGGTCAGTAAGGTGGGTTATGGGGATTATAATAGGGTTTCTAGGGGATACTAAGTAGACTTACTAAGTCAAAAGGGCCTCCAAGTGCTGAAAGCCTCTATACCCGAACCAGTTTGCGCTCTGCTCTCCCCCTGGCGAAACCGAATGCAAGCAGCAAAGGGAGTTTCTCACAAAACCAGAATCAGAAGAGATAAATTATTGCAGCATATACAAGAAGCTAAAAGGAGCGCTCAAGGATATTATTTATCAGTGCTTTTTCTGAAAAGCACTGATGAAACCCAGATCTTTCCATTCGAGTTTAGGGTGAAGGTTTCCTGTTGGGGGTGTGGGGGGTGGTTTAGGGTTGGGGCATCCTTGTAATAAAGATCTGTTGCCTAGGATTTCTTCAGAGGATGCCCTCTTTGAGCATACTTGGGAGTTCCCGAAATTAGGGGTACCTTGTTTTGGGGGTTCTTATAATAAGGATCCTACTATTTAGGGTACTATACGAGGCTCCCCGATTTTCGGAATCTCCCATGTGCTTTCGGCCGTCACATGTTGAGCAGAACGAGAATCTCTGGGGGGTTTTAGGGTTTAGGATTCGGGTCGGGAAAGAGATTTAAGGGTATGACATGTAAAGGATGCTTTAGGAATTATGAATTTCGGGTCACAGGGTTGCTGGTAAACGGTTTCAGTCTTCATCGTCTTTCCGGGCTGGGGCTTACGATTAAGATCTTGTACTTGAGAGTTCTGGTTTTCAAGCGTTTTGAGAGCAGGGGCTTAGGACATTTAGGGGAGGCCCTATGCCCCGGCTACCCACAAGGCAGCACGCCGTGGGGCGGGGCTATTCGGAGCCCTTCTTCTTCTCCAAGAGGACCTTCATCTCCTTCTTGTTGGCTTCCTGTGATATAGTGGCCGTATAATTTGCATAGGGTACAAGGGCATATCACAATGTACATTAGTATCTTTAGCAAGGAACCCCTATAGTATAGCATCATATGATACCAGGATGCCCAGTAGCCTAGGACAAAAAGGGCTCCTTTTTGGTATTGGGTAATTTTATAATAAAAGCTCGGACTACTTAAAGGAAAAACAGCGCCCACTGGAAGGCCCAGTATATAATATACTGTCTACAGCAGGGAATCTTACAACAAATACACTGATTCAAAATATGTTGTATTGTATACTACTATGAAGTTATATTTGAGAAAACTGGTGGATCTTTTCGCCGACTGCGAAGCTATCTGAATATGACTCAAGGGCCCTAACGGCAGCGGGAAATATATACAGTTAACACATGCATGTCATGGCCATGGCTTCCTGTACATGTACAACAGAGGGTGCATTCACACTCAACCTGTTCTCATGCCATGACATCGAGGAAAATCTAAATTAACCACATGAGGTACAATAGGCATTGTCCTCCGAAAGTGGTGTCTGCATGCTACCCTAGCACCGACTCAGCTACTATGGTACATACAACGTATGCCCACGATTGTAGCGTCTGCAATCTACGTCTACAGCTTAGCTCGACTAATACTGTACTCACCAGATTCAATCACCTTTATGATGAAATCCGGTTTCATGGACTTTGTGAAACAATCAGCGGCTTGAGTGGCTGTATCGACCCAGTCCACTCTATCTCCACCCGCAGGGTAGGCCTCAACCGTGCGCTTGCCGTCTTCTGTAAAGATAGACTGGCGAAGAGCGCTAAGCTCGATTTGCAATCGTTTGTCTTGCACACGGGACGGAGCCTCCGTGTTGAGGTGATCGGCTAAGCTGCGGCAGTCCGTCAGCGCTATGTGCGGAACCTGTGTTCTCGCACGAAGTTCCCAATCGGGACCACTACTACCGAATCCGTAGATTTCGGCTAGGGCTGCTCTTATGCGATCCCCTGCCTCTTGGGCACTTTGGAGTGCGTAAGTCTCAGCCTGAAGAGTTGCTCTGCATACTCTTTTGATTGTGGTGGATGAGAACGACACGATCATTGTGTCGTAACGACTACAATTTGGATCGCGAAGCTGGGCAGCTGGAGCGAGAAAATGGATCCGTCCTTGTTGTGATCGGTCTCCCTTTTCACCCGCGAAGCTAGCGTCTGAGGCTGTCAGTACGCCCAGGCTCTCGAAATCAAAAGCACCATTTTTGTATCTTAACTTAAGGTCGCGACCCTTTAAGGCAAGTTCTAGGACCTTATTAGCCTCATGAAGAGTGCTAACAGTTGCACCTTTTATCGAGCTCTGAAGCTTCGATACACGGTATAGGATATCTGGCCTAGCCTGCCTAGAAATCCACGAAAGGCTGCCGACTACAGAACGTAGTTGACGTTCTTCACCTCGGTCAATAAGATCCGAGTGTTTCCTTCCTGCCTTGACATCAATGTAGGTGATCTTGTTCGTGTTATCGGTAACGTCGATTAACACGTCCTTTCCAGATATGTCGAATTGCTTACCGCAGAAGCGTAGTCTTCCCGACTCGCGGCGGCCTACTTCGAACTTCTTTAGGAGCTTATCTATGATAGTTCCGCCCTTGCCTATCGATGCCCATAAAAAGTCATCGACATGTGTTGTCAAGACACAGACTACTTTTCCGGCGGCGCGGTAAAAGTAAAATGCAGGGAAAATCCTGCTTACCTGGAAGCCGACTTCACGTGCTTCTCGGTCGACTTTCCTCCAAAATCCTCTGCCGCTATCGCAGAGTCCGTATACCGGTACTCTGATCAGGAGCATCGCTTCCGGATCTACTCCTGGAAGTCCTCCGCCAGGTTGTCTCATAAGTACAACCCTGTCTATTGGCTCGGCCTGAAAGTAGGCGTTGCGAATATCTGACGATTCTACAGGGACTCCATTGGATGCGGCGAACGCTGATACTAGGCCATGCGTTTCGAGGTCTGAGGTTGGCGCGTCCGTGCGAACCTCTGTGGAATCTTCAAAATTTCCACAGGACACCAGTCTGGATTTGAACTCAGGTTCATAATCCGGCTTAAGGCGTTCATGATAGTTCTTAATAGTGTCGACCCATTTAGATGGTATCGGCGTATGACCGGCGTCTAATAGTTCCTTAAGCTGCGCTCCTTTCAGCGGAATTGCCGCTTGAAAATCCTCATATTTCTTCCATTCCTTAGCGCGTGATCCATCGATCCGCAGGCGGACTGCTGGGGTGCATTCCCAGTATTTCAAGGCCTCGGGGAGGTCCTTGAGCTCCTGCTCAACCTGTTCTCTGGAAGAGAACCGGTTAGACCAAAAGCCACGGAGTTTCTGTCGAATACTCACGTTTGCTTCCTCCTCGTGTCTACGTTCCTCAAAACGTGACCTAATAGGAGCCGGCAGATCGTCCAGGAGGTCTGATCTGCTTCCTCTCCTGCTAGGATTAGGGGTTCTTTCTGCCTCGGGTTCAGCTGTACTGACCCGTCGGGACCTCGAAGATGATGCTGGGGGAGCTGATCTAGATCTACCTCTCTCTGGTCGCTCTGGTTGCTCAGTCATCTCCTCATCCTCGAAGATTGATGAAAGCGGTCCTGGGCCGTCCAGAAGGCCATAGGATGGTTCTTCGGCTTCCTCTTGAGGTGTACCTTCCGAAGGTCCTTCTTCGGGCTCCTCATCACCGATGTCACCACCAGGTGCATCTCTGAGATCCTCGAAGTGTTGCTGTCCACGCACCAGTTCTTCTGGCAGCACGGGTTCCCCTTGGAGAACTGCGTGTGCAAGTGCCTCGGCATCTTGCGCAGGCCTAAGATTCTGTGCGGACACTAGAACCGGTACGTTCTGACACAAAACCCACACGCTCTCGTTCTGGCTACCCTCAAAACCGATTACTCTAGACGCGGTAGACCAAACAGTTTTACCTGTTTTATCCCGCCTAAAGCAAACCACGTCTCCTACCGAGTACGTGTACGGCAGCGGTTTCGCATTCCTGAGAAGTGCACGCTGCACGCGTTTCGAGGTGTCCAAATGGACAAAAGCCTTCTTGGCTTCCGTCCGAGCCTGATGGATTAGGGCAAAACGACTCTCGGGATCAACTTGGTCGTTTAACGATCCAAGATCGGCGGTGTTATCCTCCTCTACTAGAGATGGAGGTCCCCGCGGCGTCTTCCCGAGTACCCACTGAGATGGGGAGTAACCTCCATGTCTCAGCATGCTATTCTTGGTGAGACAACACTCATCCAAGACTGTCTGTAATGCCACTTCGCCTACGGCCTGTGTTTGCGATACTACCTTTCTAGTCATCGCCTTCAGGATTCCGCCGTGGCGTTCCACTCGGCCAATCGACTCGGGTGTTTCCAATGGCGCGTGGTGTACTTGGATACCATGAGCCGCGCAGAACTGCGCTAGTACCCCGCGATTATGTAACCCACGGTCACACCGTATAATCGCCGGCACACCAGCCCACGCGGTCCAACGACGTTGGATGGCCTCTAGGCACCGGGCTGATGAAGGCAACCCGTCGCCTACGCGTACGGTCTCTGCAAGCTGAAAACACGTTCCTAAACACACCATATTCATAACTTGGTACTTAGTGCCTTGTGCATCTAAGCATTCAAAGATATCAATACCTAGGGCGTGATTAAAGGAATACCGTTCCGGCATGGATACGGTGTGTGCGTTTCTACGAGGCTGTGCGTCTTCGCACTCATTGCACCTATGAAATTGAGCCGCCTCTATATACGACTTATCGATTCTAGCGGTCCTTAAGAGATTAACTAGAACCTTCTTAGGGCAATGGCCGAATTGGCGATGTAGCCGTCGGATCGCTATGCGTATCCGCTGTGGCACCGCTCGCCATTTCGCGCGACGCTCGGATTCCTCTATGGGTAATCCTCGCAAATCGACGTTGTCGAGGCGAGTTTCTTCCTCGATGGCCTCCTCGGAGGGGTCCATCAAAGCGAAATCGCGCGGTTCTTCCACCTGATCGAAGGGTTCTTCGTCGGCCTCAAGAGCCGGAAGGGCTTCTTGGGAAACAAGTGCAGTAGCTACTTGGTGTTCTGCTATTTGTCGAAGCCACACAACGAAATCTACGGAAAACACATTGTCAAAACTCAACGGCGCCATATAGGGATAGCTATTTGTGGTCCAACCATCAAATACATCCATAATGCCATTGTCGTTGCCATAGTAGGAAATGTCGCCTACTCCGTATACAGGTTGAATAGGAATGCTAGCTTCCTGCCACCTATAAGTCTGGGCACTGTCCATTAACAGGTACGGTGTTCCGGATGCTTCGGAGTGGCTAACAACTTCATCTATAAGGTCAGAGTGATTAAGGCCATCTATCGGGTCCTTATACCTTATAGCTACTATGACTAAACTAGGACCCACAGACTGCAGCTCCTTCCTGGCACCACTTGGTGTCCAGGAGCTCGTGGCGTTCAGGCCCATGTCGATGCAGTGGATCATTGGGTCCTGGAAGTGTTGGGGTTCGCTAGTGAAAACAACGATGTGCTTAGGACCAACAGTGGTTCCTACGTTGCTTACATCTAATAGGCGCTTAAGGGCCTTGTCGTGGTCCCTTAATTCGTTGATACCTTTGGTTATCAACTTACGCCTCCCCTTACTCAACACTGCCATTGAGCACACAGACTTGAACCCAGCACTAGTTGGGGACTCCGAAGCAATTACTACTCCCTCGTCGCTATGCTCCTTTTTCAAAGTGAGGTTTAGCTGGCGGGCAATAGTTTCGGATTCAGAACTGGGGTCTGATCCAGAGCTAGACCACGACGCCCAACGTTTCTGTTTCTTGGTTCTTGGGTTCTTGGGTTGAGGAGGTCTTGGAGGTAAGGGCCTACCTCTCAAACCGTCACTACCCCTATCACTCGAAGGAACCTTCAACCAACCTGGGTCGTCGGGGTCTTCCTTTGGCTTCTTTTCTAGCTTGACCGGCTTCGGTTCAAGTTCCTGTGGAGGTCCA